ACTTTATATTAGAACCATGCTATATTCCTCTATTGCATTCTCCTCATGCATATACAGGCAGTTAATTTCAAGCAGGTAATTTTCATGGATACAAGTTAAAAAGCTTTGAACATCAATTTTAAGTAGCTATGTCATTGAAGTGAGATCATGTTTATATATTTGCAGCAAATTTCTGCAGGATGATATGTGATCTACGAACAAAAGAGAGATAATAGTGTGTGTGTTTGTAAAAGATGAGAAATTTGACATACCAATTACGGAAAGCCGCAATTTTTGAGGTTCTCCCATGGCGATTGTGAAGAAATTATAGAAAATAAGTGGGAGAGCAAAATGAGATGGATTGATATATTATATAAAGAGATAGATATGAGTCATATACAATAAGATAGGAGGCACACGATAGGGGTCAAATATTCAACAATGCTCAACTACCGGTGTCATTTATTATGTGGGGACCGGGGGGGGGGTCATTTTGGCGGTTGAGTACTCGGTTATTTTAACTTTCAAGTGGACCACATTTTATTTTATTTTGTCTAATATTTGAAACAATATGTTTTGCATGATTCATGGTAATAAAAGGCAAATCCTTCCCTTATTACTAACTCCGACTTGAGTTGATATACAGATAATAAACACTACTTTTATTCTTAATATAAGAGCTTCTGGATTAATTTAGGTAAATTAATAAAATTTAATTCATTAATTAATCAATTAGTTATAACAAATGTAACATAATTTTTTCTAAAATATCCCATATGACATTAGATTAATATCAATTAACAAATTAACTATATTAATTTGAGAAAAATAATAAATATAAAAAACAAAATGAATTAAAATTTTATATTTATGATTAAGTCCAGCCTCTCACTAAGCTCTATATTAGAAATGAAAAGGATCATTAGGTGTTGATCCTAGTAGAAAGGGATTTAATTGCTTAAAAGCAAGGTTACAAGTTCCAGTACATTAAATGGAAAAAAAAATTGGGAGAGGTATCTTTAATTGAGTCCTATAACACTTAAATCTGAGCAAGTCATATAGTCACAATTAAAGATAGACCCCGGGAAAGGAGTATTTATTTATCTACTTGGTAAGGAGACTCGAGAAGGAGTATTTAGTTCCCTCGAAGAAGGTGTTTGCCTGTTTAGATATATTCAAAAGTATTTTTTAAAAACATTTATTTTTATATCGAGATAAATTTTTCTACATATTTATTTTATATACTGTAAAATTACTTCTAAAACTATGGTTTAGTTTTCATAAAGTTCTTCCACTTGTGGTTTTTTAATACAAAACATACATGCATGCTGATGTGCTTATTTTTATGGGAGAATTAGAAAGAAGTTTCAAGTAAAAAACATAACTATTAAAAATTTTCAATAATAACAGAGCAATTTATATTGCTAAATTCTAGAATAGTGAATAATAACTTCTTACTTGTTATTAGGACTTATAATTATTTTTTCTAATTACCTCCTCATTATAATATTCTTCATTTTGTCGTCTGTCACTAAAATATATAGTTTGTACAATACATACACATAACTTTGAGAAAAACCACTATTTTGGCGTCGGTTGTCGCATGTGGTTGTCTCTTTGCCCATTTGGTCACTAGCCATTATGTTTGGAATGATTTATAAACAATTTTTTAGTAATGATATATGAAATACAAAATAAGTATATAGAAAAATTTATTTTAAATTATGTAAAACATACTTATAAATGATTGTAAACGTAATTTTAAAAATAAAAACTTACATAGAATTACTAATAAAAGACGAAAGATATATGAGATTGACTCGTGTATAATTTAAGGACTAAAAATTAAAGTTTAAGATGATGTAGGGATTACCTCTAATTCTTTTAATGTATAAGGAGTGACATTTTGTTGGTACAAAAAAATTAACGTATAAGGATCAATTCAAGTGAATTATAAGAGGACTACAATATTAACATTTAATTTCACATAAAAGGATTAATTTTCCCAGCATATATGTGTGTGTGAATAATCAAAATGTTGGGGGCGGGCGCGAGGTTAATTTGTCCCCCAAAAAAATGTTTTATTTTTAGTTAACAGCCTAGCTGGCGTTGAGCTCTCAAATAATATTAAAAATTCGAATATAAGCACTTTTCAACATTTTGTAACTGTTTCATAATTTTAAAAAATTCATAAAAACAAAAATTAGGTATATAATTATTCCACGTCATCATTTAATCCCAAAAATCAGATTTTCTGGAAAGGACAAAACCAAATGTCCCCTGTAGCCTGTAGGCTTTGAATCTGAGCCCAATGGAAAAGTATGTCCCACAAATCATTAATAGACCGAATGGTCGTTTCTGGAATCGTATACCAAGAAGACAAAAGGAGGAGACTACAGATATATAAATACTCTAATACGTAGGGATATTAAAAGGGGGAGAAAAAACAATTAACATAGGAGACATGAAAAAATTTGAACTTAAGAATAAATAAAATATTTTAAATAAATCTTATCTGTAGAATCAGACGGAGTTGATTGGCATAACACATATCTCAGGTGTTGTATTAGGATTCTTTCACTGTAAAATGGTGATGAAGACATACACTTGCTTGGATTGAGAGAAAATTAGGGAGAAAAATATGAGAGGAAACAAGTTTTCTCTTACTTGGATAGGAAAAAAAATGTGGGAGGAAGAAAAAGTGGAGGAAAAAATAAGATAGGCCCCATGTCCTATTTTGCTCTCCAAATTTTCTCTCCATATATGGAGAGATTTGGGAAAAAAACTAGATTCTCATGATTGCCCCTCCTCTCACTTCCTCTCCATATTTATTTTCTTTTATTATATTTAAAAAGTTATTCACTTTTTATTTTTTTATCTTAAAACAATATTTTTATTAAATAATTTGGTTTTAAAGCATAATAATCTGAAAATATATATAAACCAAATAACTTGATTTTAAATTATTTGATTATGCTAATGTTAGTATAATTTTTCTATTGCAATATTTAATTTAATTTAATTTTAAATATGATATATTTTGATAAAGACATTTTAATCATTTAGATATTTGTTAATTTTATTTCCTCTCTATTTTTTCTCATCCATCCAAGTAAGAGGGATGATAACAACTTCCCTCTAATTTTTTGTTCTCTCTATTTTCTCTTCTCTGATCATTTTTTTCTCTCTCAACTTTTCTTCCAATCTAACCAGAACGATAAACTTTGGTGTAACTTGTTCCTTAAACGCAAGTTTGATTCTTGATTTTTAGAGTCTAAGTAACAATTTGAGTGTCACGCTAATTATATGGCCATTAATTAATTGAATCCTTCAGGAATCAAATTCTCAACGGCAAACGTAGGTTTTTCTTCTTCGGAGTCGGAGTTACTCGTAATAGAAACTATTGTTCTTCAAGTTACAGAGAGCGAAAAGCAGTCTCTCCTCAACTAGGCTTGTCTTATATATTAGAGTTTTGAATCAAAACCTACTAAAATAATATACACACACACATATATGGTCCATCTGCATCTTATTATTACACAATATTCTGACTCTTTTCTCTTCATTTCATTGAATGTGGAGGATTTGGAGCGTCTATTTATAATCCTACCTGGTTCGTTCGTTCATTCATTCAAATCCTAGTCATGAGCCAAAATTGCAAAACCGCTATTCATAGGCCTTTGGTCATTAAAAAAATAACCCAAAGAATATAATGTGGCACACATTATCAAGAATTTTCGCACATACACTTGATGAAAGGTCTTCAAATGAAAGGTCTTTAACTTAATGTTTTAAATTCATGAAAGCGAGAAGGAAGTGCAAAGCTAAGTCTGCTTGGAAGTTTTGATTCATGAAGACCATAATTAAGGTCATTAATCCTGACAGTTGTTGATTCATGGACATCCACAGCACAATGATAATATTCATAACAGTTAAAAAGTTTTTTAAAAAAAAATCTATATCAAGATATCGGTGAGTTTTCAGCCCTAGATATACAAGAAATCTGTTGTACAAATGAAGTACTAATAATCGATCTATACCACCATAATTCTCTTCTCTTTAATGTCTTCATGTTTAGGATTTTCTTTCCATTGTTATCCGTTTTCTGCAAACCTGCACTTATCAAGACGCGAATGGATGTTGCAGTAATTCTGAAGCTGATAGCCGCCTCGCTGGATTTCTTTCGAAGCATAATTGGACAAACTCTTGACCCTCAGTCGACAAATCTTGTGGTATTTGGGGATCTTGCTTGTTCCAACACACTTCACGGTTGACCTGCCACTGCATAAAATGATTCTATTTAATGCTAAGTTTAACTATAACTGAACCATCCATTAATCAGCACCTTACCAATCACCATCACTCTAATTAGTGTGTGTGTGTGTGTGTATTTGTTTGAATGAAAAATGAAAGACAATAACTGTTAATACCCAATCAAGATCAAGCCAAGGGCGCTTCCCTGTGAACATTTCAATGATTCCACAACCCAAACTCCATATATTAGCGCTATAGGCTTCACCCGAGCTGCTGTATTCTTCATTTTGAAGAGTCTGTATGAGAAGCAGGGTTTATTAATTAATTAATGGTTTTGTGAATTATGATGATATAGAGTATATGAAAATGCATACCTCTGGAGCTGCATAATGTGAAGTTCCCCACATGGAGTGACTGCCCATAGAATCATTTACCTTTTCAACACAGAAAAGCCCGTTATTATTAGCGTTGCTGACCATATAGGAACTATCATAAGTCCCTAGGTGTTAAAAGTGAATTGAGGCGAAAACTAAAGTGATGTGAGATGCAGGCCAGGATTGAGCGCCGGGGGGGGGGGGGCAATTTTATTTTTAGTTGTGAAAGAAAGTCATTTTCTTTTCAAGAGGCTCATTCAAATTTCAACATGCATGTTGGGGAGAGGGGAAAAAACACACAATTGTTGAGTAAGTGAAGAGGAAGACAGAAGTCTTAAAGGAATAATGACATTTTAATACAATTACGTTTACTAGATGCGGTAGGAGGGATATTCAAGTACTTGCATGTTTAGCCAAACCGAAGTCAATAAGCTTTACAAAGCCATAAGAATCGACGAGTACGTTATCGGGCTTGATATCCCTATGTAAGCATAATAGTAAATAACAGCATAGATTACTACAAATTTCGCTGGACCATATTGTTGATGAGTATAACTAAGCGCAAATCACAAAGAAATATTTACATATCATTATAACCAAGCAGGGAGGAAGATTGATGAACATACCCAAAAAAAAAGATAATACTTGCAGTTACGTGGAACTGATGCAGTATTGCACATAATACCACTGGGTACAGAGACAGGATTATCGAATGTATACCTGTGGACTATCCTTTTGCTGTGTAAGTAAGCTAATGCAGAGAGAATTTGTAGAGTGATATCTCGAACAAAACGTTCTTGGAAAGAGTCTCGTTCACTTATGTACTTTGTGAGTGTCCCAGTTTCAACATATTCCGTGAATAGCCATATCTGGTTTCCAACCTATTCACCCATAAACCCATATATTGATTAGGCACACGCATGGACAAAAGGACATTGTGGCCAATTCAAAAACAAGTAATGATGCACAATTGATGCTTTTCTCACCATAAATTAGTGCACAACTTACTCTTTCACTCCCATGATACTTTATAATGTTTGGATGCTCCAGTTGGCTGAGAATTTCGATTTCCTAAATGCAAAAAGCACACGTTAGCCCCGTATGGTATAATGAAGCGTGTGATTGTTTTTTTTCCTTTTTTTTTTTTGGGAAAAATGTGTATTCAACGTCCTGATCTCATTTTCCAAGTGCACCTAACACCATGAGCTTATTTATAATGTGTTCGGCACCCAAATCTTTTTTTTTTTTGGTGTGCATTTAGCAGCCTAATATTATTTTTTAGGGCTAAGGTATAATTTTAATAATAAATTTTTACGTTAGGAGCATTTGGCACCATTTTATTTTGAAGGGTGCAAAATTATACATAACCATTAAAAATAGTGCAATTTAACGGGAGAGACAGTTTGAGGAAAAACAGAAGGGAGAAGAAGACGACTAAACAGAAGGGAGAAGAAGACGACTAAACAGAAGGGAGAAGAAATAAGTGCAGATGAGTGGGACCTACCTTATGAAAAACAAACTGACGTTTATAAGTGCAGATGAGTGGGACCTACCTTATCAAAAACAAACTGACGTTTAGGCTTCTTAACAGGAGCGATGAAATTGCTCTCTTTTTTAATGATTATGTCTGATTTTACACCATTCAAAATTAAATAGTGTTAGACTTCATCTAATATTTTAATGTTAAAATTACACATTAATCCTATTATTTATAATGCATGCATCATCGTAAATATTAAAGTATTGGATACACCAAGAAAATAAGATTAGTGTACTAGATGCACTTTAATCATTATTTGTTAATATATATTTTGTTATTTTAATTATCTTTTTAATTTACATCTTACAGCAAGTATAGAGTATTTATTTTTTCACTTCAAATTGTTTTAACTTACTCTTAAGCCTTAACTTTAAATATGGGCAAAAACACGACTTGTATGAAATAACATAAACATCACTTCTCAATTTAGAAATGGGTTAATATAATTTTTTGTCCCTTAAATTTGTCCTTATTTTGGTTTTAGTCCCTCAAATTTCAAACTATAGGTTTTGGTTTTCCTAGGAGCAAAATGGTCCAGGTTTTTATTGTATTATAGGAACTAATATTTTAAATGAAAAGAAATTTGAGAGATCAAGACTAATGATTTAAAATTTAAGGGATTAAAACCAAAATGAAGATAAGGGACTAAAAATTATATTAACCTTTTAGGAACTATGGGCTTATTTAGATTTATGATGACAGGATTTGCTTTTATTTCAATGGACTTTTGAAAACTTAAATTAAGATAAAAATAAGTTGCTGCAATATAATTTATGTTTACTGTTTAGATTTGCAAAAAAGAAAAAAAAGAGAGGTTAGTTTGACAAAATGCGTGACACAATTTGTCTTTTTTTAAGGGTTTAATATAATTTTTTATCCTTTAAATTTGGATCCAATTTGGTTTTGATTCTTCATATTTCAAACTCATAGTTTTAGTCCTAGAATTTAACTCATCTTAAAATGTTAGTCCTTGAAAGTGTGACTGTGCTAAAATTCTGCTAAAATATCATTAATAACGTTAAAAGTAGTGATTCTATTAAAATAAAAACTTATTGAAAATATATTAAAATTTTAAATTAAATGTTGGCCATTCAAAATCAATTTGGATGGTTTAAATTTATGAACACCTCATGTTCATCATTTTTGAAGAGCATGGATTTCGCTCCACCACGGATAAACATTATTGTAACAAAAAAACGTACCTGAATAAGAAATCTTCTGTTGTCAAGATTGTCAGGGTCTTTTAGTTTCTTTACAGCACAAAAGTCTCCGGTTACTCTGTAAAGAATGAAAAACACGAGACATTTTTTTATGGCTACACAATTGTCTACATAATTGGTTAATTATTTACGAAGAAACGATGAACTTAAGAAAATAAGATCAAAATATGAATTTAGTCGGAGAAGTATATGAAAACCTGTTAAAGGCAACATGAACAAATGCGAATCCACCACCTCCAATAGGGGGATCCCATATATCCCATTGGCTAAAATTTGAGGTAGAAGAGACTGAACGGGGAGCGTCATAATTCTGTTGACCAACAGGATCCATTGTTTCCCCTTGGCTAAAGTTTGTGGTAGAAGGGATAGAACTATTATTAGCAGCATCACGAATCTGTTGGATTAAGCGACTCAGTGTTCGAAGAAGAGGCTTCAATGATAAAAATATAATGTCCATTTGTTGAGTAGTATTGCTAAGGACACGGTATTGTTAAGTAATGCAAGATGATATTGGTGAGATGCTAAAACAACTTATTGCACTTTTTCTTTATAGTCTAATGTCCATTTGCCTTTAATTTTAACCCAAAAGAAAAGAATCCACCCTTTGCTCTGCTTAAATTAAATGGAGAAGGATATTTGGTGGCTCAACAAGAGAGATTCAAAGATTGCAAGATTCGATTATGCTTGATACATTGAAGCCTTAACATACTAGAACGACCCACATGAAAGAAACAAGTGGGACCTTTCTTTGTTTTCTTTTATTGCTTTTAAAAGTTATGGATTGGACTTAGTCCAAAATAACAGTATGGGATTAGATCATGGAATGACAAATTCTAACAAAGTACGGGCGTGCATTGGTTGGTTCGGTCCAGTGTTGACCAAAACTGATGAACCGAACCGAACCGAGTTAACATGGTTTGGTTCTGTTATTCAGTTTGGTTCACGGAGTCAAAGTTAGGCCTATTGGACCTGATTTTGCAAGCTCTATTTTGCCTTTTCCCCCATTGCTACATCGCACCAGATAAAAGAAGTACGAACACTGACTAGAAGAAGCGTTAAACCAAACTGAATAAATATGCAAACTGAAATAAAATAACCATGAAGCTGCTAATAGTTATGATACCTGGTTGATCATTGAAGCAACCATTGTATATATGCTATCTCCAGTCCTCAATATAAAAGCTAGTTGACTAATTTGAGTATATTAAGAAAATTTATTAAGTTAGTTATTTGTAATAACTAAGTGTTATTTTTCTTAGAATACTCTTATTAATCATGTGCATTAGCTAGAACTACTATTTAACAAAATTTTTAACATATGGAACCATTACAAGAGCTAACACAAAGTAAATATAAAAGACAAAATAGATTAAAGTCTTATATTTAAGATCAAAACAAATGTCAAACTAGCTCTTATATTAAATACCCGGGGTGGTACATATATTTAAGAACAAGTTCATAAAAGCATGTTTACTGGTAAAGTAGATTAATGACTCAACTCAAGATATTGTGGATGACGTATATATTATTATTTTGGCACAACGAAGTGAAGGTTAGCAGCAGCTAATGTATATATTTGACATGGATCTAAATACTTGTTAGGAGAAGGGTACCTGGTCTACGATTTTGCATATTAGCTCTGTGTAAGTACGCATAAGGATTAAGGAAGGAGATGAACACAGTGGATATCAGTGAGGGTACGGGAAATAGAGCGGAGAAGATGCGAAGAACCAAAAAAGTTGGAATATATCGGAGGTGATAGCCGCTGGGAAAGCCCTGGTTCATGTTCGGTTCTAAATGACCCTCCGCTGCATAGAGCAGTCTGACAAAGTTATCAGCAACACATGCCTCCGTTCCTACAGCCGTGACCTGCATGAAACCAGCCATGGCATCCTTAAAGAACAAGATGGAATCTTCAAAAAGAGAACCCATCAATCTCATCACGAGTTCAAGAAGCTAAGTCGATCCCCCAGCGGCTTATGATGAATGAGTTTGGATGATCGATGAGGGTGGGTATGTTTCAAGGGCAATTCAGTCATTATATTTCTTTTGACAAATAAAAGCACTCTCCGATGGAGAGTTAACCTCCATAAATAAAAACAGCTATTCAAAAGTATACTACTGCTCCGATTTTTAATATAGAACTTAATTGTTAAGTTAATTTTGGTCCTAAATATAAGACTATTTTTCATATTTATTAATTTTTTTAAAATTATCTTTACGGATACTCTCTCAACTATAATCAAGTAAACGAGGGAGGGAGGATATTAAGAAAGATGATTATAGTATTTTAAGAAAAACATGTTATGTTTTTTATAATCTAATCAAATAAGTTAAATATGTCTTATATTAAGAATGAGAGGAATATTAAATAATATAAAAAACAAAAAACATACAACAACTTGGTTTTAATAATATTCTTTAAATGGAGTTTTATCTCATACATATTGGACGACTCATTAAAAAATTAGCTAATTGTCAAGTGTGACCAAATTACTTGTAAAAACTGAATTAACCTGATTTTATAAGTTCAAATTAAACGCAAAAATAATAAATTTGATCAGTCAACTTGTGAATTTGACAACAAATACCTACCAGTTAATCCACAGATTAAAAGAAAGGTGGCCACATAATTTTTTTTTAATAAACAAATGTTTCCATTCCAAACAGAAATTAATCTCATTTGACTCACTTTGCTTTGAACTTGTGGGTTGAATTTTACTCTGACTCACTTTAAAATAAATTTTACTTTTTCTTCCTTTCTTTTAATCAAATTTTACTTTTTCTTCTTGGAATCCTTGAATAGCAAGGTCATTTTCCCCTACTCGAATTCCAGACATACGCAACATATACTGTTTTATTAACTTCACTTTTAGATTTATTTATTTAAAAAAAAGGCAAAATGATATATTGAAATCAACAAAGTTTACATAATACTAAATCAAGAAGGAAAAAAAGACTATCTCCTAAAAAATTAGAAAATAAATTAAAAGAAATTAATTTAAATGGAGGAGCATAAAAATCACGAAGAAAAGCAAGAATCTCCTGCTAAGTAATTGTTGAAGACTGACGATGATAAAAAAAATAAAAAAATAAAAATATACCACTGGATAAACAACGCCTGTCAGCTAAAAAATAATTCATAATTCGAGAATAATACAACCATAATCGTTGCAAGTTAGAGAGGTTCAATCAATGATGAGGGACCATTAGTTTATACTTTTGAATTGACTTATAACAATTATAGAGATACTATTTATAAAATATCCTAATAACCTTTCCATTAATTCATCTTTAGTTAATTATAGTGTTAAATTTCATATGTTAGGAGCTTTTTGGCTCAATTAATATCAAACACTTCTTTCAAGACTTTATTGAACATGAAATTGTGACTGGCGAGTTTGAACTTTCAAATAAGTATATCAGGTATAAAAAAAGGGAGCAAAAACAAAATCCAAAAGCCCCCTCCTCTTTTTGCCAGAACCATGACAAACCCATATTTACTTTATAATTTAGCTGGGATATATATATATATATATATATATATAAATATATATTAATAGATTAACCAAGCATACACGCCAACTTCAACAGCTGATTCCTATTATTTTTTTAACCTATCCTTTCTCATATGTCTCATCTTAACTAACTAATGATATTAATAATAATAACTCTGTATATATTTGCCCTCCATGCAAGATCCCGAGACTTTTTTTGTTGTTATTGTATAACTTTTTGATGCGATGTGTAATCATCTTTAATTAATTTTATCAAACATTGGGTTTGAACCAGCCCAGTCATGCTTAGCTTGTTTTGAATTCAAGCGGTATGACTTGTATAAACCAAGCTAAGTTATTAATAGATTAACCAAGCATATATGCCACAGCTGATTTTTTTTTTAAAAAAAAAAACTTTATCCCGTCGTTTATATTTTGCTCTCTATACAAGATCCTTATACTTTTTTGTGTGGTTATTGTATAACCTTTTAATGTTGTGATGTAATCATTTTTAGTTTATTTTACCAAACATTAGGTTTGAAATGGCCTGGTCATGTTTCAGTTGTTTATTTGAATGGAGCACTAATATAGTTAATTGACTTTTAAACTATATTAATAATACCCCAATATAATTGATTAAAAGGATGGGTATTTTGGGAAAAGGAGTATATACGAGCAAATATTCTTTTAAAAATTAGGAGTTGGATAGTTGGATAAATGGAATTCAAACTGATGACAGGTAACGAATTGTTTGATTAATAACCTACTCTTGAATAATTCTCGAAAGTTACTGTCAATTTGATTGAGCTCAGCATCATTAAAATAATCAGAGCTGTTGCAGCAAGCGAAGTTGGTTTGAGAGGGAAGTAGTTTCTGGTTGAGTTTATTTCTTCGGAAGTAGTCGAGAAACTCAAGAATGAATCCAATTTCTAAATGTTTTGCTTTTCAGTCGCCACTCCAGGTTTGTCTGTTAAGAGGCCTTGGAAGAAAATTAGGCGGACAATATTTTTTATGATGTACAATTTTAATCTGGCAAAAGATAAAATATAATAAGAAGAAAGAAAATAACACTAAGAAGCCAAAGATACTTGATTGCAATTGAGTAAATTATGAAAAGACATTATTGCCCCTTATTCCCATTTTCAGATTTTCTTCTAATCCTCATCCCATTTACATTGCTCTGAATTTCAGTCAAGTTTCTTCCGCCGTTGCTTCCGATTTCTGGTTTGAAACCTCTCCCTGTGTGGTGGGTGCTGATTGTTTGTCCTGCTTGTACGATTTCATCCATGTGGCTTAGTGCTTACTTATGAATGTCCATGTCTGCATGAAGACGCAACGAAACAAACTTAAAGTACTAGAGAGACATTAGTAGGCCAAGAGAGCTAGGCATACACAAATACTTGTAATTATAACTTTCTAACTACCAACACGGGTTGTGTCTAGCAGAAGAGACTAGTCTCTCACAACATGATAAACTAAGGTTCGAATCCTTGTTGGAAGAGGTGGCCGCATTTAGTATCTGATAATACCTTAAAAAAATTACTTTTAATGAGAGGATACCTATGCATAGGGGGGAAAAACTCTGATCAGTTAGTTTCATGACTTCAATTATATATCTGCAATTAATTTTTAATTAATGGTTGTTGGGATTACCTTAATTAATATCATTCTTTCCCTATTTTTACGTATGATTATGTAGGGATATAAAGCCAGACAATCTCCTTGTCGATTCGGACAACATTCTAAGGTTGGTTGACTGTGGTTTGGCTAAGCACATAAATTCTTGGATATCTCTTCTACAAGATGCATTCATGCGACAGATGAGGCCATTGATCTTCGAACTTCAGACTCTATATATCTTCAGTAATTTGAGATGATCCTACAAGATGTCCGTGTTATAATATGGCCAGAACTCATGCAGTAGTCCATGTAATATGTGCGTGTTTGTGATATATACTTATGAACTACTCTCTTGCTATGCAGGTAAACCTACCCAGACAGAATTTGCGCAGTAAAATTTCTAATCAAAGGTTCATGTTTGATATATTTCTTCAATGAACCCAGTTGGATGTATTCCATACAAAGAGAAATGTGGCTTCCAACCTAATTATACATGAACCAAGTGATTAATTAATTGTGTGTGTATAGTTTCTTCCTCAGCTTAAATCAGAACTCAGTAGAATACTTACTATTTCATGGTCATAATACTATGTATTTTCCAGCTGGCTGAGAATTTTTATTTCCTTTTAACACATGTATACTTTAGCCATCATGTTTGATGCAATGAACTTTGTCGATATAATTTCTATTTTGTTATTGCAATCATCCACCGATAATCTTCATTTTTCCATCTTTTTAAAGTAGGTGAAGGATTTATTGAATTGTAATGACATCATAGTCCTTGTTTGGTTATATCCAAGGTATAACATAAAAGATCATATTTTAAGGTGTCATGTTTCTTGAGAGAAAAAACGATGAGAATAGTAGAGTTTAATTACGATGTTTACTTTTTTAAAGAATCTATTATAATATTCTACTTACACATACTTCGAATTAAATCTTTGACCTTAAGTTTCTGATTCTTCAATGACGGAATCTTCACTTGTGGAGGATTTTATGAATGACAAAGAAATTAATTGTAATAACATTCTACCTCCACTCCTTAATATAAGAGCTGGTTGACTAATTTGAGTATATTAAGAAGTTTGTAAGTTAGTTATTGGTAATACATAAGTATTTTCCTCTCTATGATACCCTTGCTAATCATATGTATTAACTAGAACTATCATTTCATGAAACCTTTGACATGTGCAACTACTACAAGACTATTTTGAAGGGGGAAAAAAGGATAAATATGAGTAATAAAGTAAATTAGGGTCTTATATTTAAAACCAAATTAACTGTCAAACTAGTTTTATATTAAGGACCAATGTTGTATATAAGACAGACCTTTTGTATAGATTCATAAGTCTCTAATTTCCCAATCAGAAATGATGGACACAACATGATTTTAATAGCTACAAGCAAGCGTTTACTTCTTATCAGCTAGGCTTCCAACACATATTTCTTACTAAGAAATTGGATTAAGATGGTGAGATCAAACTTTCAGTTTACTCATACTTGTTGTGGGCAACATAAACAGTCCATTATCCACCATAATTTCCGCTCTTTGCCATCCGTTAAAATTTGTGGTGGGAGATACTGAATTAGCAGAAGCAGCATCTTCTTTCTTTGCCGCACATAAGTCTCTGGTTACTCCATCAAGAATGGAGAACACGTCACATGGTTGTGATGGCTACACAGTGTCTGCATAATTGATTAACTATATCTTGACAAAGAGGACAAGGCTCGATGGGCCATGATATACGCGCAGATCTCACAGGACTGGAGAGAACGAAGGGCTGAAGTTCTGGTGAATATGCCACCATGAATAGAAATTTTTTC